TGATAAGAAAATGCTTAGTTAAATCTTGAAGAAATGTTGAATTAATGATATGAAGGTCTTGGGTTCGACTCCCAGGCCGGACTAGTTTATTGTTTTCCTAAATAATATCGCTTAATAAATTCATAAGGAATTTAAGATATAAATTATGTTACCGGATTGTTTCCCCGGTTGAAATCATCTTTCCAATGATGTAAATTCAAAGGAATATTTAAATAAAGTTAAAGATCGGATTTGTTCCCCCGGTCGAGATGATCACTCTGTGCATAAATAGAATTAACGGAAATTAATCGCATAAGTATTGTCTTATATAAGTTTGATATGTTTTGTACGAAAACAAATGCCTATTTATCATGATTGATTTATGAGAACATTCACTTATATTGTTTGATAAGAAACATGATATCTGATAAGAATCTGATTAGAAATAGTTTCCTACAGTTTGAAAATTGTGTGAAAGAAGCATTTATTCACCCAATATTGTTAAAATTGGTGTATATCAGACTTTCATTTTTTCTGATAGCCGAGAGCCGTGCAAAAGTTAGTTGTTCAAATAGTGTGAGTTCATAGACGCACGCTAGCCACGTACTTAGGAGGCCAAATATGTAAAAATTTAAATATTTGTAATTTCAGCAATTTATGTAAAAATGACTTTTAAAACATTTCAGGTTGATTGTACGTGCTAAAAAAGTGAATTCTGTGTTATTTTTATGTGAAAATTCCTGTGTATAAGTGAAATAATGATAGTTTTGTATAAGAAATTTAAAAGTGTTTTAATAGTGAAATAAATAGAGAAAATGTAAATTAAACTATTGTATTAGTTAACATATGTATAATTTCAAGTGGAAAACATTGTTTTAACTTTCTATGTTAAATATTTAAGAAATTTCGAGTTTGAACTTGTGAGTAAAATAGGCATATTTGGTTAAATAAATAATAGGTTTTTCGTGATATAAAAATGTAATGTATATCGTAGTGTAGATATTGTTTTGTGCTATCTATACAGGTAAATTATGTTGATGTATGACTTATGTAAATAAAGTAATTAAGTAAAACGTGAGAGAGTAATAGAACAAATTCATGTAATTGAGTTGCGCAAGCGCGCGAATGGCGCGGCTCACTTTCGCGTATAGCTCTGGGGTAGCTTAGTAAATGAGTTTTATTGCAATTCGTGGACAACGTAGAGACCGCAGCCGTTAATATGACAAAGGCGATAGAGGAGGCCCTCAATGCTGCCTCTACGATCGTCCCGATGTCCACCAGAAGGGATGATCTGCCGCAAAACATCTGCGTGCAGATCAAGAGAAAAAGGGCCTTAAGGAGACTCTGGGCGCGTACTCGCTGCCCGAGAATCAAAACGAAACTGAACACCTTGTCAGAGGAACTGTCGGTTGCAGTCCAGGCACACAGAGGAGATGCCTGGGAGCGGCGCATATGGAAGGCGGAAGAGCACGATGCGTCGCTCTACAAACTGAACTGGCAGTTAACTAAAGCCATACCTCCCGTTTGCCCGCTGACCAACAACGCGGGCGAACGTCGTTACGATGCCAAGGGTAGAGCGGATATCCTAGTCGAGCACTTCGAGGAGCAATTTATGCCGAACCCAGCAAGTGCGGAGTTCTTGGAGCTTCATGCCCAAAAGGAGAGTCGCGTACAGGAGTTCCTGTCATCGCCCGCGCCGCCTCTTGCAGGAGAGTGGTTCATCTCCCCCCGCTGAACTGCGGTGGACAGCAACCCGCCTGCAACCGAGGAAGGCGCCGGGGCACGACGGGATTACCAACGCTGCACTCCGACAGCTGCCCCACAGAGTCCTAGTAGAGCTTGGTCGACTCTACAATGGGATACTGCGGACATCCCACTTCCCGGAGGACTGGAAGAAAGGCAAAGTAATCGTCTTGCCGAAACCCGGGAAGGACAGGCGTAGAGCTGCCAGCTACAGGCCGATCACGCTGCTACCACATATAGCTAAACTGCTTGAAAGATTGTTGCTAAGACGCCTCCGCCCGTGCATCCAACTTCGGGCGGAGCAGCACGGATTCAGGAGGGGTCACTTTACAGCAACACAGCTGACCAGAGTGCTGCACCTGCTTGCGGCCGATTACAACCGTGGCCGCACTACGTTGGGCGTCTTTCTCGATATCGAGAAGGCGTTCGACAGGGTGTGGCATTCTGGACTACTTTTTAAATTGAAAGAACAGACCAGTGTCCCTCCTGCTATGTTGCGGCTAGTGGCGTCTTTCCTGGCAGACAGGAAGTTCTACGTCTGCGTAGAGGGCGTCGAGTCCGCAACCATAACCATCAGAGCCGGCGTTCCTCAGGGCAGCTGTTTGTCTCCAGTCCTGTACGCGGCTTATACCAACGACATCCCTACCCTGGCAGGCAGGCTGCAAGAATGGGAGGACGACGTGGAATTGGCGTTATATGTGGACGATAGCGCTTGTTTCCCCTCTTCCAGAAGAGCCCATATTGCCGCTGCCAGGATGCAACGCCTCCTGGACCTGTTGCCACCATGGCTAGATGAGTGGAGGATGGTCGTCAACGTTGGTAAGACGACCGCTCTGCTCACTCGCCGCCTCAGGAACCTACCACCTCAACTAACTCTCAATGGCCAGCAGATCGCGTACGAGAAGGCCGTGACCTACCTTGGGTGCCGGATCGACCGGGCGCTGCGCATGACTGCGCACGTCGACCTCGTCGTCCGTAGAGCACGATGTGCGCGGGCGATGCTTCGTCCGGTCCTGGCATCCAAGTTACCACTTAACACCAAAGTGCGAGTATACAAAACCTACATTAGAGCCATTATCACCTATGCTGCTCCGGCCTGGTACGCGCTTCTGAGCGAGCCTCTGAGGCGGCAACTGCAGGCCCAGCAAAATATGGCGTTAAGAACCATCGTCGGTGCGGGTCGCTACGTCCGGAATGACGTCATAGCGGCCAACCTGAAGATTGACACCATACAGGAATTTGTGGCCCGGTTGGCGCGCGGACTGTTCGACCGTGCAGACAACGGGCCGCATATACACCTCAACAACTTTGCGCCGCTACACACTCGCCCTCCGGACGGGCGTCCCTATCCAAGAGAACTCCTCTCTATATCGATTAGAGAGTCGAGTAACAACCCTCAATGCCGCTGAAAGGCCAACTCCGACTTTATTAGATAACCTCCTTTTTTTCGTAGTCATAACCGACTACGAAATATTTACCGATTGCGACAAACCGTATAACACCTACAATGCCATTAGAAGGCTTCCAGGACCGGTCCATAGTGGTGGACCGCGAGGACAGCACGGGTAATGGGGGCTTACCCCGAAGCCCGAAACCTCCATGTGCCTAAAGGCACGTGAAGAAGAAGACATCAACGTTGCAATTCGTTCGGGGAAGTTCGGAGAAACTTCGGGAAAAGTGCAAGACCAGCAGTCAATAAGAAGAATATAGGGAAGTGATAGGGAAAAAGTGATTACTCTCTCACGGAACGGTTTGAAGATAATTGCTGTTTTATTCCCAAGTAATTCATCCCTCAAGATTATACAGTCCACATCGAAGAATTAAGGCGTTGGGACCGGGACGACTTCGGAAGACCCGTAATCCCCGTCTGACCCTACTCGCTGAAAAGGAAGAGGTTATCGCCCTTGTGTGTTACTCCGTTGCGGAGATCACATACGTTGTTCCCGAACCCAGCGTAGGCGTTATAGGAGGCCGGATCGAGAGAAGCCTCGATTCCTCCCTTCTGTTTCTTAATCGAACGTTTAATCCCCGTTGGTCCTTTTCAATCGGTACTTCGCGGCCGGGTCAAGAGGACCCCCGAACCTGGGTTCCTTTTCAAAAGGTATATAATTTCACATTATTTCTTAAATAATATATAATAATATAATAAACTATTCCCTTTTCGCATTAATTCTTATTCCCCATTACCAGAGCAATTTGAATTCGTTAACGACCGAGTTATTTCCGATCGTCTTGCGTTTCACTAGAAGCTTTCATCCTCGCCCAACTGGCCACGTTTCCTGCAAGCAATCCGACAGTCTGTCAGATAGTAGCTTGCGGATGTAAACTACGTAACAAGCGCATTCGCTACAGTTTGCCAAGTGTTTCCTGCGAGCAGTTGCGAGTGTAAACATGTTCACTTCGACTCGCGACAGATCTCGCTGCCTATCTGTCTTGTTTCGTATAACTCGCAAGAAGTACACTCGGTTTAAATAGGAATTCGGAAAAATCCATTTACTGTCAATCCATTACTGACGAGCATATGTCTTTATAGAATGCATTATCTATATCGCATACTACGAGCCGATTATTTCGCGATCCATATCGATGTTTATAAAAGTATAGTAAAGTGACGTTACAGCCTGTATACGTCCCACTGCTGGGCACAGGCCTACCCTTATTTCTGAGAGGGTTTTAGGGCAAGGAAGTGTCCGCCGCGTTGCCCCAATGCGTGTTGGCGACCTTCACATGTCTTTGAATATTTTTTTCTTATTCCTCAAACATGCAGGTTTTCTCACGATGTTTTCCTTCACCGACGAGCACGTGGTAAACCAGCACTTAAAATTGCAATTAATAATTTCATTGGTGCTTGCTGGGTTCGTATCCGGGCTACTCGCGTTCTGTTATATTTACAGCGAGCGTTAACCATCTGAGCTACCACGGCTCTTCTCGATTTTTCATCTTATCATCTTATCGATGTTCATATTCGCAATGAAAGAAAAGTAGTTGTATGTGAGAGAGAGCGTGGTCCTTCCCCGGTCGAGCCGACCCATTCGTGCTACAACAATGATATAGCAGCACCGTGAACCTACCGCATATAAAAACATATGTGCAGTCCACACGCGGTAGACGTAAAACCTACGGAAAAGGAGATCGCGATAATAGCAAACGCTACTGTATTCTATCTTATTCTTTCGTAGGCTAATCCTATAGATGTATATGTTTGTCTCTTTTTAATCACAACTATTCTAAAGAAGTGTTCACTTCAATAAACTTTATTAACCAAAAGTTTCTCCTAGGATGGCGATAGATTGGGGTAACGTAGAACGAGCTCAGAGCCCTTGCGCCGTGTCCGCGATTCACCACGGGCGCGCCGTTGCCATTCATCACTTGTGGAAGCAGATCCATCACCATTGCTACACCGAGCTCACGTCTGCCAATGAGTAAGTTGACTTACTTCCGTTACACTTGCTGGGCACAGATCTTCTGAAGGATATCACTCAGAACATCGCAGATGGTAAGAAGATGCTGTGGCCCATAGGCATCTAAATTATCCTCGATTAAGAATCAAAATGCAGATGTGTTGTCACACCTAAGAACTAAAATGGAATGCCTCGTTTCTAGTAAAAAGGTCTTCGGTTTGCTACACTCACCATACGAAACACAACAACATTGACGAATTAAGATGACGAATATAGTTACAGCGTGGTTCTACCATGTATAAAACATACGTTAAATAATTCTAACTTCTCAGACACTTGTAACTTGTGACTCCTTTTTCATTTACCTATTCCTGTGATATATTAAATATTTTTCCATAACATTTTAAGAATTTTAACTATTAGCTGTGTTTTTAAGGTTCGTTTTAATTTTACAAACATTACTTACATTTATATATGTATGTATAGGTTCTTGATATGGTTTGTGTATATATGGTGTGTATATAGCTATAATTTGTTACAAAAATATTTATTTACGTTTGTATAATATTAGGTATCTCATTATTACATTGTCTCATATACGGTATATAACAGAAACGTAAACAGAAACAGATACTTTTTTATTCGTGTAGATTATAAACAATACTTATTGAAAGTCATATTTTCCATTTACCACTGGTTCGCAAAAAAACCTCTGTGACTCGACTGGCCCCTCTTAATCCTCATGGTCGATGCGTTCTTCGATGGCTTCGATTTGCTGTAAACAATTAAAAAAACTTACGTATCTGCACTTCTGTGTTCTATATAGTGTTGCCCAAAATCGGTCTTGGTCTTGCAGTCTAGGTCTTGTTCTTGCATTTTTGCAAGTCCAAGACCAAGAACAAGAACGCCTAATTTTAGCAAGACCAAGACCAAGACTGACCGTGCAAGATTTGAGCAAGAACAAGACTAAGCCTGCGAGACTCTTGCGTCTTACAGTTAGGAATGAGTGTCGTTTCAGGGAGTATAGGACTTCGGGTATACGCTTAGGGACTCTATGAGACGCAAAAAATATATAAAAAAATTTGGAAAATTGGACTTCTGCGTATTACGAACAATACCATATACATACATAGCGGATGAAAATATCCATTAAAGGAAAAAACAGTGCATCCCTAGTTTTGACCATCGGCACTTTGATAGTGCGCGGCGTCTTGTTGTCGGCATCATCAAAGGTCGAATACTAACCTGTCAAAGAAATTTTGCAGCTATTCGGAAGTACAAGGTCAAGATACACGCGCCGGCGGCTTCTATTGATATCGTATTCAATCGTCGCCGACGCGCCGTACGCACTACATTTGACACTGTTTGAATGCCGCCACAGAGTACATGTTCCAAAGAATAAAATAAGTTTCCGGGTGCTCAGAATAGACACGAATACATTATGCTGATCTCGCAAGGAATATTGTAATTAGATAATGGTAAGGATAGGTTGATATCATAATAATTTATTCTAGTAAGTAATTATTATAATATTAACTATATGGGTTTATAATAATTATTTACTATTATTATTATTACCTAATAGATAAACATGTTCAATAAGTTCACTGCAAATCTCGATTTTTGGAAGTGTGTGTTTTTGAACACAAAGTGTTCAAATATGTCGTCACCCATTTGATAAATATTGTAGACACTTTTAACACACTTGAAACGTGTAAACATTTTGTACAATGCTAATCGAATAATAAAAAAGTGTGCATATTAAATAAAAAGCGTAAAATAAGATATATGTACTTTTTAGGAGCCCGAGTATCTCTTAGAGAACCGTTTAAAGAAATTGATTGCATCGAATTGATGTAAATAATAGTGATTTGCACAATTTTAATAGTAGAAATAAAAATAAAATCACAATACCTGCTTTCCGGTTACACAACGTATATAATGTGTTCTTGGGTTGCGATATACGCTTTTATAATAAGATTCCAAAAGTAATGTTAGATCTTTCACCCAATTTAAGTCAGACAAAAATGCTTGTAACTGACCTCTCGTACTACACAGGACTAACTAGAAATTTCTAAACCGATTTGGTATCTACATATACATTTGACATTTTATGTTTGACTTATCGCTTTACATAATTATAGAACTATTGTAAAAATATTTTGAAAAGAGCAACTACTGAGTTTCTTACTTTCTTTCATGATTCTTCTCAGTAGAATCAGAACCCCTGGACATGGAAAAGAAAAAATTGGGGAAAACATTGATTATATGACTATTCAAATGTGTATTTTAATGCCTACTTGAATAAAACATATTTGAATTTTGAATTTCAAACGAGTGAAGGCAAATTTAATTTAATTAACGTAGGTTTATTAAATTAAATTTGCCTTCAAGTGATTGTATCACTAGAAGAACATAATATACACAATTTTATTTACATATTTACATTTAATTTTTACGTAGGCACACTATACCTATCTGGCAACGCATCTATTTTATTAATCTTCTGAAGAATCGTTAATTTTATCAAAGGATGCCGAACTTTCCTTTGTCGGTCCTTTGGCGTGTACTTAAAAATATAGTATTTATTTTAATTCTAGTCATTCCCAATTGAGCTTAGTGTTGCCAATTTAGCATATTATGTGCTAAATTTGACATATTTTCTTCTTGTTTAGCATATTTTTTTTGCTTTTAGCATATAGCATATTACTTCAGCATATTCTTATAAAACATGAAAAGAATGTAAATTACAATCTTTCTTGAAATAAAATTTGATATCGATACCTACCTCAATCAATTTCCCACTTCACTACTAGTGATTCACTAGCATGGCAACCCTTTTTTTGAAGCGAATATAATATTCTTTGTGCTACGGGATTCCCCTTAGACATAGAGAATGGACTGAGCCCTTATTCAGGTATAAAGTAAATATGGACGAAGTACAAGAGAGACAAAGCGAATGTGCCGCCAGTTATTGTCTCTTTCTACGCCTTACCTGCGCCTTGCAGAAAATACACATGTATTGGCCGCGTATTCACTTTGTCTCTTTCTAGAGAGTGATCAGTTTTGTGAGGGTGATGTCTATGGGATAGAATTCCCTTACTATTATCCATTCCCCAGCGCCTACGTCGCTTTCTGTCAAAAACATTGTTTATTGTTGTGGATGTGGACTCACTCATATCGTCGTCTCGTCTTATCCGTGTTTTCGTGTTCCTTTTTTATAATTTGATATTTTTATTATGGTGCCTAAGTATAGTCAACATTACCGGGCAGACTGGGAGAAAATGGCAGACTTTAAAGAGTGGTTGCAGCCCGTTGAAAACGATACTTCGAAAGCGTACTGTAAGTATTGTAAATGCGAAATGATTGCAAAATTGTCTGTTTTGAGGCTACATATTTCATCAGCAAAGCACAGAAAAGCAATAGAGCCAATGAAGAGTCAAAAAAAAATTAACTTCCCTAAAGTAAAAAAAGATCTGAATACCCAGAAAGCAGAATCTTCGCTGGCTTTGTTTGTTTGCGAGCACTGTGCAATTATGGCTGTAGATCATTTATCGGAACTATGCAAATACCGATTTGTCGACAGCAAATACAGCGACATCAAGTTACATCGAACCAAATGCACGAATATTATTAAAAATGTTTTGGCACCACACTTCATTCAAGAAATTGTGACAGATTTAGGAGATCAGGAGTACAGTCTCTTAATCGATGAATCGACAGATATATTGGTACTTAAAATGCTTGGTGTTTCGATAAGATATTTCAGCCGATCATTAAAAAAAGATAATTTCCACATTCTTGGGATTAGTTGAGATTGAAGACGGAACTGCAGTCAGCATAGTGAACGGCATTAAAGGATTGTTGGCAGAAATAAAAATAAATTTAAAGAAATTGATCGGTATCGGCACGGATAACGCTTCGGTCATGACAGGAACTAACAGTGGAGTGCACGCATTGTTGAAAAATGCAACTGGTAATGACAATTTAGTGTTAGTCCGCTGCGTGTGTCATTCGTTACAGTTGGCTATGTCTCATGCTTCAGCAGAAACCCTACCAAGAAATGTTGAATTTCTTATAAGAGAAACCTATAACTGGTTTAGCCATTCATCAAACCGAAGACTCTTTTACAAAAACATGTTTCAAACGATCAACGGTGGCTCCGTTCCATTGACAATTCCACAGATGTGCAATACCCGATGGATATCAATTGAACCAGCGGTCTGCCGTATTCTTGATCAATGGATAGAATTAAAAACCCTGTTTGAAATTGCCAGGCGAGATGAACACTGCTATACGGCAGAAATACTATATAACATGTATAATGATCCACAGAATCATTTGTACTTATTATACATAAGACCTATCTTACAGGAAGTTCAAGTGGTAAACAAGTTGTTTGAAAGTAACGATGTTGACCCAACAAGATTGTACAATGATTTGATTGGCTTAGTGGAATCGATAGGTCGGCGTATTCTGAACCCAACGGCAAGGGTAGATATTTTAACAGAAGACATAGAAAGCTATTTAGATCCGAAACCATACATGGGATATGCTTTTGAGACCAAATTACTTGAATCCAATCTTCAGCCTAATGCAGCAAACTATTTACGCCAACGTTGTAATAATTTCACACTGAAACTTGTGACAGAACTACGTTCGAGATTACCGGTTAATTTTAAAATACTTCAGAAGATATCCATGTTTTCAGTTCAAGAGACTTTAAAAGTAGTTAAGCCATCCATTGTCGAAATAGCCCAAGAGTTCCGAGTTAATGCACCTATGATTGAAAAACTGGTATCTCAATGGAGAAATATAGTTCACATTAAATGGGAATCCTTGACTTCCACAGTAAAGTTCTGGAATGAAGTCATGCAATATAAAGATGCAGCTGATAATAACCCCTTTGCAGAGTTATGTGAGTTTGCAATGTCTCTTATATCATTGCCACATTCAAATGCGGACGTTGAACGTGTATTCAGCCAAATGAGTCTGGTAAAAACAAAACTCCGAAACCGTTTGGCGGTGAGAACTCTGAATGCCATTTTGTACGTTAGGTTCGGCCTAAAAAGAGCAGGAAAGTGCTGTTACTCTTACACTGTTCCAGACAATGTACTACGCAGTATCGGAACCAAAGAGTATTACGACTCCGGCTCTCAGCCTTCCACATCAGCTGATGTTGATGAAGATGAAGACCATAATATTCTATTCCCTTGATTTAATTTCTCAATAAATACTGATACTTCTTAATTATGTTGGCATTTTTCTTGGCATTTTTTAGAGAAGGTAAGCATATTTTTGGCATATTTTTTACACCAGTCTAGCATATTTTGAAGTAGTTGAGTTGGCAACGCTGATTGAGCTTTGCTTCGAGTCTAGTGTATTAATTGTTTTTACTCTAATTCTTGTTGTTCTCGGAGTGATAAGTTTACAATTTGACATGAGTGACGAAGAGTCAAATAGTTCAAGTCGGAGTAGTGAGAGTTGGAGTTATAGATCTAAAAGACCTAAAAGTAAATTTTATGAGTGTTTCGACATAATTCATGCATACCAAATTGCTTTGTGTAAATTATGCCAACATAAAAACGTTGAAATAAAAATGAAAAACAGAAACACTTCAGGCTTAAGGAAGCATCTAATATCTTTCCACAAAAAGGAATCACAAATATTTCTTCCTGAAAAACCAAAATTAAGTGGAGATATCACAAGCTTTTTAATAACCACCGGAAAAAGTGGACAGGTAAGAAAATATATACTTATCACACAATTACATAACACATATATTATGTAACTAGCGGCCGCCTGCGACTTCGTCCGCGTACAATATCCGCAAAAGTCTACAAAACTCTTACCTAAGTATAAAGAGGCTATATAGGTAAAGCTTAACTATGCAAGTATTTATTATTTAAAACTAATAAAGTAAATGTCGATCTTCATATCTATACTTTAAAATATAGGACTTGGATGTAACCATTTTACCCCAATTTCACCCCCTTAGGGTTAGGATTTCGTAAAACAGCTTAATCATTTACCATTGATACATGGACGTCAATTGCTGGTAGGAGTTACTACGGGGTCACTATTCATTATATAGACAACGAATGGAAGTATCGATCTGTAGTCCTTGATTTTATACCATCACGCAATCGACATATTGGGGAAGATATTGCAACGATTTTCCACGAATGTTTATTTGAATATGACATAATTGATAAAATACAGGGTATCACAGTCGACAACGCAACTGCAAATACCAAATTTATGTATGAATTGGACAAACAGCTGCCACACTTTGATTCAGAAATTCAACATTTCCGGTGCTTTGCTCACATTTTGAACCATGGTAAGGTCTTTAATAAATCTTGTACACCAGTACAAGATTTATTAAAGACCTTACCATTACACGGTGAAACTGACAATAAGGGACAAGAACAGCAGTATGAAGATAATGAAGACGAAACTGAGGAAGATGAAGAATATGCGCCAAATATTGCTGACTCACGTACAGCTATAACAAAATTACACAGTATTTCCAGTAAAATAAAAAGAAGTGAGATATTGAAGAGGAAATTTCAGCCTGCTTGTGAAGCAGCTGGCGTGCCATCAAATCTGAACCCCATACTCGACTGTCCAACGAGATGGAATTCCACACATGATATGATTGGATTTGGTTTAAAAGTGAGAACTGGCATTAACATATTGCGCACTTCTGTCACCGAATTGAATGATTTTCAAATCACAGATAGTGAATGGCAAATACTCGAAAAAATACATAAGTTTCTAAAAACTTCTATCAACGAAACTTGGTGGAGAAAAATATGTTACATTACCGCTAGTCATTCTATCATTCAATATCTTGCTCGATAAAATTGAATCCATGGTAAAATAATTATATGAGAAACCTAATCGATCCGAAGTGGATGAAAGGCTCATTCTGGGTTTTCAAGCAGCTCGAGACAAAATGTTTAAACATTATAAAAAGAGCAACTGGATTTATTGTACCTCTTTAATTTTAGACCCAAGGCATAAGACTCAGACTTTTGACATGACATTATGGGGGAAGCAAATTAAAACAGAAGAAAGCCTGCGCAAATTTAATGAACTTTATAAAGAATATAAAAGTCTACACTCAGTGAATACATCTCTAGAATCACTAAGAAATGAAAAGAAAGTATGTGAATATGATGAAGATGAAGACGTAATAGGCTGAGAAATTGTATGCATGTCCCTCGACGTCATCTGGGTATGGACCTTTTCATCAAGGCTTAGTTATAGACGAGTTGGAGGAGTACCTAAGTAAACCCAGAGCCGCCAGTTCGGAAGACATTTTAGAGTGGTGGAGGACGCATGAGACAGAATATCCGACTTTATCGAAGATGGCCCGTGATTTTCTATCAATACCTGCAACTTCAGTACCTGCTGAGAGATTATTTTCTAAAGCATCATTATTAATTAGAAAACATAGAAATAGGTTAAGTGATGAGTCAGCCAGATGGTTACTTTGTATTAATTCTTGGTCAAAAGAATTAATATAAAGTAACAGTAATGTCAAAGTTGTTGTGTACTGTTATGTAATTTAATTTGTATTGTATTTTATTTTTTTATTTAAATAAATGTTAAATTGTATAACTCTTTTATTCCATTTCATATAAGGGTCTATCAATCTCTTTCTAGACAGATAATGTTCTTTATAATACAGTCAAGTTAATGTCATTAATTTGTTTTTTATATGTTTTGACTAAGTTTTAGCACATGTAAGTTTATTAAATGTAAACGTTTATTAAGAAACAGATTAACTCCCGTGGCCGTGAGACTTGGTAGACAGCTCAGTTGGTTAGAGCATCGGCACGGATCGCTTAGGTCGTGGGTTCAAACCCCACCCGGTATAAGTCAACTAAACTATCATTTTGAGCTTGAATTAACATAGCCATAGAAAGACCAACTTAATGAATAAATGTCTAAACATTTAATGAGAAATACGAAAACCAATTTTTCGAATTTCTCATTAAATGTTTAGACATTTATTAATTTGGTTGGTCTTTCTATGGCTATGTTAATTCAAGCTCAAAATGTGCCTACTCTCTTAAGTTGTTCTAAGATCTAAAGTAACGTTTAATAAATAACAATAGGCTAATAGGTAATTGCGAGACTTGCGAGACTCTTGCTGCAAGACCAAGACCAAGAACAAGACTGAGAGCGCAATACCATGACCAAGAACAAGACCAGGTGTATTGGCGCAAGACCAAAACCAAGACTGGCTAAGTCTCGTCTTGTTCTTGCATTTGGGCAACACTAGTTCTATAGCTGGATTATGCAGAAACCGCTGTGACCCGTTGTCATAAACATACCAAAGTCTAAACAAATTAAAACGTTATGAGTGGAGAAGAAAGAAGTAATTTAATGAGTTACCTCTCTATTATAATAACCCTTTTTATACAAACTTAGTTTAATAAAAATTTTGAACTTTCCGTATGACAAATTTTGTATATTTTCTGGGATTTTGTTGTAAAAGCGTATACATCGCCCCAAGAATGAATTAGTGACTCGGTGGAGTCAAGTAACTGGTGCTACTAGCTTGTGTCTTAACTTATACTATTAATATATATGTACTTGTTTGTGTACTATTTATACACATCTATACATACATACATACACATAAGCACTCACGCCTCTCACCCAGAGAGGTAGGCAGAGACTACAGACTTCCATTTGACACGATCCTGACAAACCTCTCTCGCCTCCTCCATATCCATATACGAGTACCTACGCATACATGCTCGTCGGTTAAGGGTACTCTTAATTTGGCCTCTTTTCAGTAGGTCGCCAATTTGATCGACAAATTTTCGCCTAGGGCGTCCCTTACCGACACTGCCGTTCACTTCAGCAACATAAATTTGGTTTGTCACTCTTTCCTCATTCATTCTTTCCACATGACCAAACCACCGAAGCATTCCTTTCTTAATCGTCTTCACACCATCACCTTGCATACCACACTCTTCTCTTAAGGCTGACCTTTCTCTTTACTCTTTCTTTTGAGGCTGGCCGCCGTGACCCAGATTCGGTCTGGAAGACATTATTATAATATAAACTAATATTTACTGGATGGTAGGACTTCCTTTAGCCCATTTCTTACCTAGCTACGCCGTCATATATCCGTGCAATCTCTATCTCTAGGCATCATCGTAGAGGTTACACCGCATTAGTAAAACTTTTAACATAAAGTTGATTGCATGTGTCCATGGTGCAGCAGCTACTCAGCATTAGTTGGTCCGCTGGTGGCTGGCCACTTCAGTTTCATATTTATGTATGAAATGGTAATATCATACTACACCATCGCTTCTGTGGGTATAGCCCGCAGAGATAACCTATATTTAACTATTATACTAAATTATATACTATTATACTAAATGACTATATTTTTCTGCTTACAGGAAGCGTTTCTTCACCACCAATGGACCTCGACATCCGCCTCCAAATCTGCCCGGCCCTTCTTACAGCTGGCTCCGCCAGATCTAAATACGAAGAAGAGGATACTAACGTTCCTCCCCATCTGTGGTTAGTTGGGGGGGGGGGCAAATTAAATTATAAAAAAATTATAATTATTCTAATTAATCTTTCAAAAGTAGTCCGTTAACTCTGTAAAAATAAAAAATTAGTTATTTGGTTCTAATTGCAGAAGTTAATAAAAAAAAACAATAAATTTTTTTAGAAGTTAATTTAATTTTTTTTTTTTTTTTTTTTTTTACTATGTTTTCTTATGATTAAAACTCTTTATGGATTTTATCGTGTTTCATTTTAATTTTAATTATTTTTATTTTAATTCCTGACGTTTCGGGTCCAGCACCCATGGTCACGGGGACTGAGGTGACTGACGTCCCGATGTCATTGTTAAACCCGGAGTACTTTCAGCTTTTTTAATTATTGTTTATGGTCCGATCTATTTAAAAATCTAATTATTACTTATGGTCGTTCGTAAACTTAGTCTTGTTATAAGGTTTAAACTATTAATGTTAAATACTGATTTTAAATAAATATTAATTTTTCAAAAATAATAAAAGATGTTAATTAATCGACAGTAGCCGAAGGACGGGATGCGAAACGCGAAATCAAGAGGTGGTGGGTTCAAATCCATCATTCGACTACTGTCGTGAACCTCTCTTAGCGTAGCTTATCTGGAGTAGTTAAGGGATTGAGTTGAATATTAGCAGTGTTAAAAATAACATTTCTAGTATTTCTTTAAAATTAAATAAATAAATGTTACGTGTAAGCTAAATTGCATCATTAAATAGATATTCAGATATCTCCATATCCACTGGTCGGCGGTTTAAGACTGAGCGTCGATTTCTTAACCAAGAAAGACATTGTCACTTTCAGTTTTGTAATTATTTAAAAAGAATAGCATTTCGACAGGGCTTAGTCCATTTCGAATTTCACACGCACTTTCGCGTTTTCGACCTCGTTGTGTCGGGGTTTTATTTAGTATTACAATACAATAACCTTATTTCAGGCATCAAGGAGTTATAAATTAAGAACAAAGAAACTAGCAAAAGAATACGGTAGCAATGTTACGAAATCGACGGTGGAATGGTGATTCTATCGTCGATTTCGTAATATTTTAATAATTGCTGCCTTATATATTAAGTGTTTGTTCTTTTAAGGTGTATTAAATATCTGTTAATATTATATGAGTGAAGTAGCACTGTCCCAAATATAATGTAATCATTCCGGAGAGACAATGTAACTAACTTCTCGCTTCTAGTATTGAATGTAGCAGTACGTGGCTCGCGTTTGGTGTCTAGCCCTGAATTTGTTACAGCAGAGTTAAGTTGCGTTATGTAATATAAAGTAAGAATGTAGTTAAGTTGTGTTATGTTTATTTATGTTCCTGGAATTTTATTTCCCGCCTTAAACGAGGTATCTAATTGAAACAAAAATACAAATAATTCTATGTATAGTACTAGAAACTGCTTCACAGCTGAGAATTGCGCCGACCAAGTCTGGGCGGCTAGCTGGCGATATATAATCCTACGCAGCCATATTTCAATTTACGAATCTTACTGTTTTAAGGCAAAATACGAAATAGGGTTTTATAGGTATTTATCTGAAATAAACTTTACATCACGATGACAAAGTGCGCACAAAAAAAGTGTTAGGGGTCGGCCCACACGTACCACAACCACGCCACATCGCATCGACAACATGTGGTCACGTGTGAATAGTGTCGCAACAGTTTTTGCTGTTGCGTTGCAACCCTACCCCTAGTCGTGGCGTCGACGCAGTGTTGTGTTTGCTATGTGGCCGGTCGCTTGCTCCGTGTGGTTCCGCAAGCACTAGTGGTTGCGTCGTCTATTCATTTCCAATATAAAATGCCACGTGTTTTGGTTGTGGTACGTGTGTGTCGACCCTTAGTTTGTCAAAAATTATGTTCAAGGCTTACATAACAATGAACTAGTGTTCTTGCCAGCTCGTAATCGACTAAAAACTTTACAGTGAGTCGACCACAACTTATTACGACATATGTATTAAGACCGCAGTATCGGCCTCACTATACGTAGAAGTCTTTACAAAAATATAGTCTATTCTTATATATGTATTGCTTAAGATGCATTTATGCGTCGCATTTATTAACAAGAATGATGTTTAGCTTTAAATATGATGTTATATAGGTGTAACAATGTAGTAAGTTACTCTCTATGTGATTGGGACTGATGTTGAAGGGCCTAAGACGTTTGACGTCTGGGGTGATGCTCTGCAGTGACGGAAACGAAATTTAGCGATACAGGTTCTACGAGTAGGTATGTTTTGGAAAAATTTACTGAATTAGGACTTTACTGAGTGAAAGTGTTGAGCTATTATGAGACGGATAATATTGTATTATAAGTGTTAAAAATATGTATGTGGTCGCAGCGACATCGTATTACGTAATGATTTCTTTTATTTGCTGCAATTCTTATGTCCAAGTCTGATTGAATTACCCAATAACTGTGAACCTATAGAGTCTGTGTAGTCAATTCCTTGAAAACCATATTTAAATATTAATAATAATAATAATAATAATAATGCAATTTGGATTAGAATAATGCAATTTGGATTAGAAAAATGTAAAATCTCTTTGGATTAGAAAAATGTAAAATCTCTTTGGATTAGAAAAATGTAAAATCTCTTTGGATTAGAAAAATGTAAAATCTCTTTGGATTAGAAAAATGTAAAATCTCTTTGGATTAGAAAAATGTAAAATCTTAAATACAAAAAAGGAAAAACAGAACCAGGACCCTACACTTTACCAGAAGGAGGCATTATTTCGTCCATGGAGTCAGATGAGGTATATAAGTACTTAGGATATCAGCAATCCAAGCTGTTAGACCACACTAGCTCAAAAAACGCATTATTAACAGAATTCAATATAAAATGCCACGTTAATAAAAATAGAGTAAGCCGAATCTGTAAAACCCAACTAACATTGAAAAGCCTTATTAAAGCTATTAATAGTTACGCGATTCCGATATTAACATATTCATTTGGTATAATAAAATGGACAAAAACAGACATGGTTAGCCTTGAAATAAAAACACGTACACGTTTCAGCATGTTTAATCGAACTTGATGTTGTAGTAACAAACGTAATTACATGTTGTTCACGATGTTATATCTGTTGTATGAAAAGAGATGTTCTTTATAAAAACGGGATTTAACCTCTAAGTCAATGTCAAAACTCTAAGTTTCTTCAAAAATGTGAATCTTTTCGTGTATCATATATGTTTGCAAATGTAATATATGAATGGAAATAAATGTATGTGGAAAATATTTTGGTTTTAATATGCAATACCTTTACACAAGTTTCTCAAGTAACCGCATCATTATAATAATAATAATAATTTTTGTTCATATATATTACATCAGGTTCTATATATATTTCATGCACATTTACAGTGGTCATTAGCCCCTAAACTAGAATATAATACCTGCATTTCAGGGCCCAGTTTACTTTCCCGAGCAGGTGTTAACCTTTTTATCTATTATCTTCAACGCCTGCTTCAACCTTAGTTATTTTCCCACTACGTGGAAAGAGGCTACTGTGATTGGAATTCCCAAGCCAGGCAAGCCTCTCAACCTCCCCCTCCAGCCATCGCCCCATTAGCCTCCTCAAGGCAATGGGCAAGCTCTTCGAAAGAGTCATCCAAAGTCGTATGAGGCGCTACCTGTTTCCCACAGACGGCGACCCTCTTATCATTCCCCATCAATTCGGCTTCCGAGCCAAACACTCATGTCCCCAACAAGTTCACCGCATTGTGGAATATATCCTCAGCGGTTTCTATCCTCGTCGTCATAAGACCATCGCGGTCTTTTTCGATATAGCCAAAGCTTTCGATAGAGTCTGGCATACAGGCCTTATCTACAAGCTCTATAAAATAGGTCTCCCCGATCGTCTAGTTCGTCTCGTGGCCTCCTATTTAAAACATCGTACCTTTCGTTTCAGACACGAAGGCACGCTCTCTTCACAGCGAACTATCAAGGCTGGTGTCCCTCAGGGCTCAGTACTTGCTCCTCTGCTGTACATCATATTCACCAACGACATTCCCATCCCGTCGAAAGGTGTTCAACTCTCCCTCTTTGCAGACGACACTGCCATCTACTGCAAAGGTGTCTCACTACCCTTCATACGGAACAAGATCCAAAAGTCAGTTGATGACCTAGGAGCTTGGTTCAAAAAATGGCGCATCGATGTGAACCCGGAGAAGAGCTCCGCCGTTCACTTCGATTATAAACGACGAAAACACTCCACCAATACGTATGCTAGGGACCCCTGTCCCCTGGCATACGTCCGCCAAATATTTAGGTGTCACTCTAGACACAGGGCTCACTTTCAAGCCCCACGTTAAAAGAGTAACCCGTCACGCACGTTTTTATCTGAGTAGGCTCAACAGTATGTTGGGCCGACACAGTAAAATGTCCCTTCGAAACAAGCGTACACTCTACAAGGTATGTATACGACCAGTCATGTCCTACGCGGGCCCCGTCTTTGCCCACGCAAACCCTAACATTTTAAATGAACTCCAAATAGTTCAGAACCTATTCTGTCGTCGAGCTGCGAACGCACCGTGGTACGTCCGCAATGCCGACCTTCATCGGGACTTAGAGCTCCCAACAATTCAACAATTTCTTAAAAAACTCTCTGAGAACTTCTTCAAAGCCTCAGAGTCGCACCCAAACCACTTAATTCGTGAGGCAGCTTCTTATGCAGCCCCACCCCCCTCTCGCTATCGTGTCCGCAGGCCGAGAAACTCTCTCTCGGACCCGCCTAATAAACTTTCAAACGACCTGAACTGTCTCCTGGCAGCTCAGGCCAACTCTAATTAAATAAAATTATTGTAATATCTGACATTAATTTGCCTTCGTAGGCACTCTCTCAGCGGCACTTAGCCGCCTGCGCCCTCTTTTCCCAAAAGAGGGTCGCTCATGATAAGGCACAATAGAGCTTAATCAGCCGGTTGCCTGTCCCTAAAGGCGGTTTTTAG